ATGCCATCATTTCCAATATCGTACTTGCTCCTCGGGCCCGCAGCGGGCTGCAGCGATAGTTTGATTTTGCAAAGACGAGAGGGGACTAGTCTTGCGACTTCGGGACCGATTGTGGGGACAGGTCAAGAACGCATGCATTATATGCCGGTATACACGACTCTGGACAGTGGTAGTAATTAGAGCGACACCCCCTATACAAGTATCTATGGAGACCCGCGGCCCGCTAGGCGAGGCCCGGGCATGAATAATAGTGTACAATGGGTCTGAGTCGTGGCGTAAGTCGTCATGATAAAAATCCATAGAGAACGCAAATGTCGACAAAGCAGATGAGAGCGGAGGGAGAGGGGCTCAGAGGTCCTTCCCGAGTGCAGACTTGGCCTTCTGCGCTTCAACCGCCTTGACCTCGAGCATGGGGTCAAGCTCTGCTTGCGGTTGACGGTATGACTTGCCCATGCGGTCTGCCCACGTGAAGTACTGAGATGGAGTGAGTCAGCGGCATGGAGACGGACGGCTGACGAAAATAGACTCACCTGACCGTAGTTCACGGTGAAGTAAAGGTGGTGCAGAGTGTGGTGCGCAGGGCCGTTGATCACCTTCTCGAGGGGGTGACCGGTGATCATGTCAGAATCGTGAATGAGGATCGTCCAGAAGTTGACGAAGACGAAGAGCCCGAGGTAGAGCGAGCGATGCAACGGGAACAGGAAGATGAAGAGGTGGTAGGGGATGGACTGGACGTAGCCGTCGAGCGGGTGGAACGCATGCGACGCGAAGGGGGTGGGGACTGCAGGGCGAGGCGGAGTCAGAAATGTCCACGAGAAGAGGAGTAGGTATGGAAACGCACTGAGCCACTTGTGGTGCGGCTTATGCAGCCACTTGTAGAAGATAGGGTGGTGCTCGGCCCTATGAATCCAGTAGATGCAGTAGTCCGTGAAGACTAGGAAGCTATCAAAACGGTCAATTTCGGGTGGCATCCGAAGAGCGAATCACTTACAAGGCGACAGAGAAAAACAGGTATGGCCAACCGTAGTCGTCGACGTTGTCATACAGTTTGGAGTGACCGCGAACCTCCGCGAGGAACCACGGCAAGGTATAGAGTGTCATCATGGGAAATGCCTTCAAGCTCGACTGGATTTCGAGCTTGACCTGGTTCGGGAGGAAGCGCGGGTGCTTCATCATCTCATGATTAAAGATATACTGGTAGGAGAGACCGGCGAAGACGAAATAGAGCACATGGATGCCGATTAGGGTGAGCAGCAGGAGAGAGACGACTTGTCGGGGCAGGTAGTCCCGCGGCCAGGCTGACGCGATGGTCTTCGAAGCGACGAGCGGTGAGGTAAGCAGTTCGTCTGGGAGCGGGGGATGGGGAATGTGTGAGATGAGCTGGGACCAGGCCGAGGAATGGGAGGCGACAATAGGGACGTGGGAAGAGAGATTGTATAGGCCGGGCGCATTCGTGCTGGCGGTCGTGAACGCAGAGACCGGCAGAAGGGCAGCCCATGCACGGTCGAGAAGCCAGTCGTCTGCGAGGTTGAGGACGAGGTCCATGGTGTCGGCGGGGAGGCGGGCGGGAGCGGCGGCCTCGCTGGACTTTTTGAGGATGAAGAGATGGGAAGCGACGGTGCTTTGCGGCGGAACGCAAGGAGCGGCGAGTGCTTATATTCCAAGCGCGCGCCCCAAAGTCGTCCCACCTCACTCGAATTTTGACACATCAGGCATTTCAGGGTCTCCTGATCAGATTAGATCTCACCTCAATCTTATCTTATCTCGGCCCCGTCGGCCTCCGCAGTTTCCCCGCAAGGCCATCCTCGCCCACACCACGCCCCTCATCAACATCCAGGGCATTCGAGTCGTCCTTGCGCTATTACTGTGCACCAAGGACCGCCAGACACATCGCATCCGCCTCCTTGGCGTACCACTCCTGCGGGAGATGACGATGGCGATGAATGCCCCCGGCCTCATACCGAAGGCCTAGTTGCGGCCGGCCATCCGGCTCACGCGGGGCCCCTGATGCATCCTTGAGCATGTCAGATCACAATGCTTTGACGAGCACGCACCTCCGACTGCATCGTACGACGCTCTCTATTGTTGGCAGGTCCCCATGATCCAGATGCAGATACGGCGGTGCCTTCGGAGCACGACGTCGCTCTAGGGCCGTCTGTTGCTTCCTCCCGGGACGGGCGGGGCTCTCGTCGAGTGCGCTGGAGCGGGCCAGGGTGTCTTCGGCGTCGGTTGACTCATGGATAGACGACCAGGACGAGGGAGACGGTGGGGAGAAGACAAGCAGCGTCGTGGTCTGCGCTCCCTGCGCATGGCGCGCATTCAGTCGCAGTACGTCACCGCCTCGATCGCCCTCTAACCCATATTCGTACTCACACCCATGCCACTCGCAGAACTTGGCGTATGCAGCGTCTACCGGCGCCATGGGAGGCCGTCCTCTGCATGACCTCGCATGCGTCTCCAGAAATTGCGATGAGCTGTAAGCTCTGTGGACCCGGGTGACTCAGAGCTATCCTCGTCGACCCGAGGCTGTGGTGGCCGCCGGTCGCAGTGGTTTCTTATGACGCTCCGGATCCGGGAGAAGTCGAAGTGCGCGATATGTGCGAACTCGACGATTGCAAGGGGGTCACCGCTGCCTTCGCAGGCAATCATATGACGGTGTCCGTATCCTGCTACACGACTGCACCGCCCACAGAAGCCACCGCGGAGAGCCTGAGGACTCCACAGCGACCGTACACCCGGTGACACGCAGCCTGGTGGCCATCCGGATACAAATAATCTCATCACACTGGTATAGCGTACACCGCACTCATCAGTCAGCACACGCCCACGCCCGTCAGTTGGATATCACGTTCGACCCAGCAAAGTTCCGCCCTTGTGCCCCAGTCTTCGGTCATTCAGATGTGAGCAAAGTCGTCCGTCGCCTGGAGCGTAATAGTCAGCAGCGTGTTACGCGCGATCCACAGGAAGCAATGAATGCCGACCTTGACCAGCAGCTTGGCAGTTCCAGGCTCGCGCGACGAATGGCCCGCGTCGGGAACAATGTGCAACGTGATCTCCGGCCAAACCTTCTTCAGCGTATATGCCGTCGTCGCCTGACCAACAAGCTCGGTGGTGAGTACGCCGGGCAGCTCGGAAGGTGTACTATACACACCGGGCAGATGACATCGTATCGTCCCTGCACTACCACGCAAGGGATGTGACGGCTGTGCACCACGATCAGGAGCGGAACACGATCTGCTAGCCAGGAATACATACATCTTGTCGATCTCCTGCTTTTCAAGCAGCTGACCATCACGCATGAAGCCCTTGGTTGACATATCAGCACTTGATATCATAGAGGCATGATCGGCGACTCACATCGTTCACGAAGTAGTGGTTCTCTATCCTTGCGAACGCGCTGAGAATACACATCTTCAGTTCCGGTCAAGATGGCGGTGGAGACGAGACGCACTTTGCGAAGTCGTTCTTCTCGGCCTCCGCGACCTGCGCCGGGTCAACGTACAGCTTCGACGTATACATCCTGTACGGATGGTCTGCGTCAGCAACTGGTTCTCCACTCTCGTGATGGCCGTATGAGAGACTCACTCCCACTTAGTCCAGGCGCGTGCTGCACGGAGACGCGTCTCGTCGTCTACCGAGTTGAGTTGCGCGTGGTATGCGGTGACCATGTCATGGCGTTCGGCCTCAGGAATGGGTGCAATGAACTCCTCCCTGCCCTGTGGGTCAGTACACATAGTACGCATAAATGAACATCCTGGTTCAGCTCACCAGGCCTCGGGGAAGAGGTGCGATGCGCCTTCCTGGTAGAAGAAGCGCAGTTCACTGCAGGTGCCGTGGGCGGTCAGGTCGTGGCGTGAGGAGCTGAGTACGCGGAACTACCTCTTGCGCAGCGTAAAGATACCTCGGAGAACGAGGGTCTTCACGCGATCAGGGTGCGACTATAAGCATCGTATGAGTGGTGCCCCTCATGACGGAGAGTACGGGATACACGCACCTGGGCATATGCAAGCGAGAGTGTGGAGCCCTGCGAAACAAGCCTTCAGTGCTGCTCGAGCTATTCTTGAGCACCGACTTACCCAAGAGCCACCGAAAACATGCCACTTCTCGATACCGAGGTGCTCGCGCAGCTTCTCAATGTCCTTGACCAAGTCCCAGGTCGTGTTCTCCTCGAGGGAGGCAGTGCTGCAGGGGATCGTCAGAACAGATTAGCCTATTAGAGGCCCTCGCAGTCCGCGGCCTGCCGAGTAGTGCGCACGTACGGCGTGGACTTCCCAGAGCCTCTTTGGTCGAAAAGGACGATCTGGGCGAGGTTGAGTACAGAGTACAAGAGAGGATGACGTCGAGCCAAGCCTCACACACCTTGTACTTGGTGGGATCGAAGAACGAGCGATCCTTCGGGTCGCAACCACCACCGGGTCCGCCTGGAGTTTCGTGGGTGGTTTCAGCAGCTCTGTAGCCGACGATGGAGGACAAGCCATACCATGTAAGAAGACAACTGCGAGCGAGTCAGATCATCTGCGAGCCGAGAGCATGGGAGGCACTACTACTGACCGGGCGTGCCGTCCTTGTTCCCATTAAGCTCGTAACTGTATAGAGGTAAGTTCAGAGACTTGGCGCACTACAGTGATCTACGTACTACAGGGTATGCAGGTCGGAAACCTTGAGCTTTCCGGTCTCGTAGGGCTCGATCGGCGGATACATGCTTGTGGGAACGGAGCTGTAATGTCTGGGGCTATTGATTGTGAATGTTCTGAATGCTAGATGTCCCAGTCGTTTGACAGGCGACTTCTTGTAGGTCAGAAGAACTGCCGCGACTCGGGAGATGGGGGTCCTGGAGAGAGTGCCTGCGGGAACTCGCAATAGCCCCGATAGCGCCAGCATGGTGAACGGCCCAGCGGCTCACTTGTGGGGTTCCCCCTCCGCTTCGTCCCTTCTATCGATGCGGTAACTGAAGATCTAGGCATGCAATCAGTGTGGAATCCGCCAAAACAAAAGGGTTATGACGAGAGTGGGATTCGAACCCACGCCCGTGAGGACCAGATTACCGCAAGCTGCTGGGTTGAAGCCCACTCAACTGCCTTAGTCTGGCGCCTTAGACCGCTCGGCCATCTCGCCATGAGGACCTTCTGTGTGCATGCATACACAATGATCACACTACCGGCTCTATGAACACTAGTCCTAAAGAGGTAAGAGATATACCAGCTTTGGAAAATGCACGTATGATGTCACCAGGGCCGTCAATGATCCGTCATACGAGCCTCAGTCGTGGATTGAGTGCTTGATTGGAGTTGGCGAAAGACGCGGCAGAGGGACGGTATATATACCCCACCACGCCGACGACGCGCGACAGAACATCTCATCTGCGCACAACGACCATGGCTACTCACAAGAACCTCATCCGTCTCAAGGCTGCAACCCAGGAGTACGAGTGGGGAAAGACGGGCAGTGCGTCCCTGGCAGCGCGTCTCGGAAAGAACGCAATCGGACATGGGTTCCAAGTAGACGAGAGCAAGTCCTATGCAGAGGTATGAGACATATCTTGTCCCTTATGAAAGTTCGCGCTGAGTCTACACTGATGTGCGCATAGGTTTGGATGGGCACGCACCCGAACGGCCCCGCTCACCTCTTTGATGATCCGTCCACGTCCCTTCTCTCCCTGATCTCCTCTGACCCAACATTTTACCTTGGGGAGACCCTCGTGCGGAAATGGCCTTCCACGACACACATTCCGTACCTCTTCAAAGTGCTCTCCATCAAAAAGGCCCTTCCGTTGCAAGCGCATCCCGACAAAGGCCTTGCGGAACAGCTACAGCTCAAGGATCCGTCCAACTTCGTGGACGCGAACCACAAGCCAGAGATAGCTGTGGCGATCGGAGAACCCCTCAGCGCGACAAGCTCCGGGACCCAGGGCGGCGATGTCCACGTTGGCGACAACGATACCGCTTTCACCGGTTTCGTTGGGTTCCGCCCGCTCGAGGACATCAAGGCGTACCTCCAGAAGGTGCCCGAGATCGCCAATGCTATCGGGGATGCTATGCTGGTCGCCTCGTTTACGCAAAACCCATCAACAGACCTCCTGAAGCAGCTTTACGGGAAGCTTCTGAAACGCGGGGTCGAGGCTCGCGACGAAGTCGCTACTGCGATATCGAAGCTCGAGCAGCGCATCAAGAAGGGCGGAAACCTCGGAGTACCGAACGGGGATGAGCTCGCACGCCTTGTCCTGAAGGTCAACAGCCAATATCCCGGCGACGCCGGCGTTCTCGCCACTACGTTCTTCATGAACTTTGCAAAGCTCAAGAAGGGCGAAGGCATCTACATCGGCGCCGACGATATCCATGCGTATCTCGAAGGAGGTATGTCGCCTGCAGTTCAAGGCTGAGAAAGGTGCTAACGCTTCTTGCAAGACATCATCGAGTGCATGGCGATCTCTGACAACGTCGTCAACGCCGCTTTTGACTCGCCAGACTCGCTCGCATCACAGATCAGTACCTTCGTCGACATGCTCACCTACACGGCTCGTCCGGTCTCGCATTGGTCTTTGCCCCGCGAGCCGTACCAGCACTCGAAAGAGGGTCGAACCTCGAAGTACGATCCGCCTATGGAGGAGTTCGTGGTCCTTGGCACCATGCTCGACGACAAGAATGCGAGGACCGAGCGTTTGGCCGCCGTCAACGGCCCCACGATCGGAATCGTCACGAAGGGTCGAGCCAGAATCGCGGTAAGCAGGGGTAACGAGCAGTTGGATCTCGACGAGGGTGGCGTGGTCTTCATCCCTCCAGGCAACGACATCCGCGTTGAGCTGCATGAGGGCCGTGGTAAGGAGGGCGCAGGGGAGGTGTGGTGGTCGTGCTTCGGAGTATGAGCAGGAGAAGGAAGATTGTAACCGTCGCGCATTGTACAACACTCACTATCGCATGTAGCATACCAGTGGTCCCGAATCCGTCATCACATCATGTAGTCGTATAACCGCAGCAACCTATCCATTGCAACGTACATACATCTCCGTAGATCATCTCTCTCCCACCATGCAGCATGCGAACTAGAGTGCACTCTTAGACGTACAGCCACTTCCCCCGTTCAGATGCCCACTTGGACAACTCTTCCGCGTTGACGGTCTCAAAGCGACGGCGAATCGAAGGCCGAGGGGGCTCCTCCGCACCGTTCAAATCAGGCGTCATCGGGGGCGAAATGGGCGGAGACGCCTCGTCTTCGTCGTCGACCGCAATGGGATCGTACGGCGAGAGAATACGGAGACCGGACCCGCCGACCGCGGTAACATACGGCCTGTAGCCCTCCGCTTCGAGTGCGGAGATGAGAGACTGCAGCGCCTCGTCCGAGAAGTCTGAGGAGGACGTAAGTATGGGCGGCGAGAACTTATCGCGACAGGGACGTACCATCCGGGACAAGCGTGACGGCGCAGCCGCCACCACCAGCGCCGGTGAGCTTCGTGCTGAGGCGGTAGGGCGACGCGGCGGTCATAGTGCGGATGGCCTCCAGGGCCGGGTGGGACACGCCGAGAGACACCAGGTGGGCATGGTTCTCGTCAAGTAAGGCCTATGTGGAGATATGGGTCAACATGCGTCCCTGACCAGGAGCGGAACCAGACGACATACCGCCAGCCCAGACAAGAGAGCACTGCGGGGCAACTCCGGGTCTGCGAGCGCACGCCGCGCTTCGTTGCTGATCGTTTGGATAGCGTCGAGGAGCTGGCCCACATACTCGGGCTCTGCGATCTTCTTCCGCGCGACACCCGCCACAAGCGCCTTCGTATCGCGCGGCACCTTCGAGTCGACGAGCAAGAATCGCAGGGAGCGGAAGCCCTGGATCTGGTCCATCCCGCTGCGCTTGCCAAAGCCGGGGCGCACGTACGCGAGCGCGCCGCCGAAGACGGCGACGGAGTTATCAACGCCGCTCGGGTTACCGTGGAGCACCTTCTCGGCGACGAAGGCCCAACGGTTCACCTCTTCGGCGACATCTGGAGGGATGGCGCGGCGACCCTTGTGCGAGAGATGCACGTGTCCAGGGTCCCCAGGCGCGAGGGGCTCGCGTGTAGGGGGCGGGACGCTGGGAATGTCGATGCGCTGGTGGAGGATGAGCAACGCTGTGGCGATGCAGACCGAGAAGGAGGCAGAAGAGCCGAGTCCGGCGCCAATGGGGAGGGTGGACCGGCAGACGAAGTGGAATGATGGTCTAGGGAAGTGCATTAGTTGTCTGAAGGAAATCAGACGGGATTCGGCTTACCTGTGGCTGCTGTAGGTCATCATCATGTACAAGTAGAGGAAGGCAACCGAAGCCGCGTGAGTTTTCGGCGGCATCTGCGACTCCGGGGGGAGGGCGCGAGCCTTGATGGCGTCTACTACTCGTATATCCAAGGCATCTGGATGCTCGTCTCCCTTAGGTACGGGTACCACCGCATCCCAAGGTAGGTCATCTATGTCCCATTCGTGCTGGTAGTCGTTGATGTCCTTGAAATGCACGGATATCTTGTTGTCATAACGAGGGGATGTCAAGCCGTAGCAGCGCAGGTCTACAGAGGCAGCAACGGCAGTCTGAGCGGATGGTCAGCTACGAGCCTCATATACGAGCAAGTCAACACTTACAACACCGTGAACCACGGCATGCTCGCCAAACAAGATGACCTTGCCAGGAGCACTGACGAACCACTCCCTGGTCTCACGCTGAGGAGCCGTGCGAGGCTCACCAAGGGCAAGCTTCTCGACGGCGCGGCTGATAGGGTTGGGGATCCGCACATAGTCGTTCGCAGCGAATGTGATGGCGCCTGCTTCGATCAAGGCGTGACGGAGATCGTCGAGCAAGTCCGCGGGATCCTCAATACCCACACACAAGCGAATCAAGTCCTCAGGGAGGCCGCGAGCCGCACGTACGGCGGGGTCGATGGACGCGTGACTGGATGCGACATCAGACATTGCATGTGTAAGAGGACTCCGTAAAGAGACGTACGACATAACGCAGGGCATACTGATCAAACTGTTCACGCAGCCGAAACTGACACTGATGCCCCAGAGGCGAGTAGCAGCAACGATACGCTCGCTCAATTCCTTGTCGCCAGTCTCGAACGAGAGCACGGCACCGTAACCTAGAGGAGCAGTCAATACCATTCCGGTCTTCTGCAAGCTGATACGAACCGTCCGAGATGCGATCATGAATCTCCTTGCCGGGGTGGTTAGGCAACCCTGGGTAATGAGTGACAAACCCAAGCTTCGAGAGCATTTGTGCTACGAGCATGGAAGTAGACTGCTGACGGTCCATGCGGATAGCCAGGGTCTTCATGCCTCGCAAGAGCAGGAACGAGTCGAACGGGGAGAGGGCATTTCCAACCGAGTTGATGATGAATGCCATTTCCTGTACGTTTATCAGTTATACTGCATTGGAGTTCAGACGAGCCATCAGGGCTAACCTTCGCAATGTCGTCGCGGTTGCAGGTAATAACACCGGCCATGAGATCGTGGTGTCCGCTGAGGTACTTGGTAGCACTGTCATAAACAATGTCCGCTCCGTGCTCGAGAGGCCTCTGCAGGTACGGACTCATCATGGTGTTATCCACCACAACGATTGCGTCCTCGCACTTCTCCTTCACAAGCGCGCTAATGCGCGCAATGTCTACAATCTTGAGCAGCGGGTTCGTGGGTGATTCCAGGAGTACCATGGCAGTCTTCCCGGGGTTGAGGACAGGAATAACGGACTCTGCCTTAGTGGTGTCAACGTGGTGGACCGTTACGCCCATGTGGGTGCGCAGGTAAGTGAGAAGGCGGTTCGTTCCGCCATAAAGATCGTCGCCCGCGATGACTTCGGAGCCAGGCTTGAGCAGGCGGGTGATCACGTCGAGAGCAGCCATGCCGCTGGAGACAGCGAAAGCATGGGCGGCCGATGAGATCTTAGCAATATGGTGTTCTACGGCATGTCTGTGAGTATTCCTGGTGCTGAATGCGGGGAGCGCCTAGATGGCATGGAAGTACGCCTTCCTACCACAACCGGAGATGACTCGTGCTCAAGGTCTTCTAGATCGCCCACACGTGGAGCGAGCTCCCGTCGTACGACTCAACTTCGTGCAGCGTGGTAGAAAGGTGTACGCACTTACCACCGACGCCCTAGTG